TTTTTTTTTTCTTATAAATTGTAATGCATTGTTTTAACTGAAAAAAATGAAAGTTATAGTTACTAAAAAATGCATTACGTTTTTAGTGAAAACATTTAAAATAATTGTTAAGTATCCGTGCCCAAGTCGAGGGATAGGTATAAGGGGATAATCGCTTGAAAACTAACCGCCCCAATAAGCCGAAATGTGTTAAAAATAACATCGCGATACGCGAAGCGGATAATTGCTTCCGCTTCGCCGTTAGTACCATCGCATCGTGATAATTACAACCACAAAAAAAAAAAAAATAATTAAAATAACCATTTATGTATACTTATGTAAACGTGCATACAGATTATACACGTGTTTCAAATTTGCTGTGGAGGCCGGGACGAATAAATCAATAATTGAGCTTATCGCCGGATTCAAGTACTTGTATATACACTTGTGGTTGATCTCTATATCTTTCGGCCGAAGAAGAAAAAAAAAAAAAAAAAATCGTTCGTGCCGATTAGAGCTTCCCCAGCAATTTTAAGGATAAAGGGACGGAGAAAATTGGAGTTTTTTTACGAGAAGTGTTTCAGGTGCTGACAGACGCGACATTTTACAAATACAACCGTGGACGGTTCTCGCAATCGTTGCAGTGCTATGCACCGACTTTATTTTCAGTAAGTAACTTATATAATACCCTAAATTTTTTTTTTTTTTTTTTCATTGCTATTATATGAGATTCTGGAAACCCTTTTCGTAATAAAATGAAATATTTCCTTACGCGATGCTGCAAATAGGGTACATGAAAGCTCGCTGTACATTGTGCGAAGGTACAAAGGCGTAAATTGAATGAAAAGCGCCTCGTCTTCGCGCGGGCGTACAATACTCTTTAGTAAAATGGGCAAAAAGCTCTCTATTCTTATACTGCCTCGTGGAGTGGACGAGAGTAATAATATTTTTCCTTTTTTTTTTCAATGTAGGGAAAGAGTTTTATTGTTTGCTGTGTCCTCTCGGAAAGTGCGTAGCAACTATGAAATTGCTTGTAAGAAGTCCAAAGTTCTTTTGTCCAATGCAAAAAATATACGTTAAATTTATATATATTTTGAGGGTACAAACGAGTGAATTTTAGAATAAATAAATACTAAGCATAAGGGCATTAGTGTACTCTTAAGCTCGCTCTTTAGTTTAAAAAAAAATTTGTCACCGTCATAGTATACGCTCTAATTCACATCAACCCTGATTTTTTGATAAAATAGTTTTTTTTTTTTTTACATTCTTATTTAAAACACTAGAAAACGTTATATGTTTTTATACTTTCAAATGTGCTAATGTTATCGTACAGTTGATCAAAATTTAATACAAAATCGTAAATAAACATATTATATAATGTTATTGAGAAATCCAATTGATTTGGTGTCAATTAATAAACGGTATTCGCTCCGAGCCGATGCAGAGGTTGCGCCCCCTCTAGCCAAAATCAGGCAACATTTCTTGCATGTAAACAAATGGTTTAGAACATATATACATACGTACAGCTGCTTGTGATTGGCACTTGGCAAGCTAGAGAGAGAACGACGATCCTCTCCTGCTGTCTTATTCAGCCAATCACAAGCAGCTATACGCATGTATTTATGTTCTAAACCGTTTGTTTACATGCAAGAAATGTTGCCTGATTTTGG